TGGACTGGATCAAAATTAATTAAGTAGTGATTTATTCGTATGAGATATCATTTCAAATCCTCCAATTCGGACTGGACTAGATTTCAAGACCTCACATTTTGATCCAGTCCTCTGCTTCGCCTCGGACATAATCAAATTGTGTGGACTTGAAATCTAGTCTAGTCCTGACCTCATAGTCGGATTTGAAATATTATCCCTTGTCAAATCAGATGCCAATGGTGGCCAAGGAAGATTCAGTTTTGGTATTTCTTGCACCTTTTGGTGAAGAATCAAGCATTGTATAGAATTTGTAACTCATTGACTTTAGAATTTCCCTCAGTTTCTGTGTTGGAATTCACATCATCATCATCAATGGTACAGCTCTCTTCATCAAATTCCTCATCATTGTTTTCAGACTTAGGGCCTGTTTATATGGAAGCCGGGCTGGCCTGATAAGCGAGACAGCCTGGTAAGCAAGATCTCGCTGTGTAGTTATTTTTATAGTAAAAATTTATCGTGCGTTTATATGAACAAGCAGGCTGGCCCGGGTTGCTGAGATCTTGTTTGAAAGAGGCATATAAACATTTACAAGCGGGCTATCCCGGTTGCCGGGATGAAAGTTCAAAGATACCGCCGCAAGCTATTTTTAACAACTGTCAAAACAATACAATGTAACAAAATTGTCCTGGCAAGCGGGATGAAAGTTTCTCATATAAACACAAGAGAAATTCATCCCGCTTACTGGGCTGTCTTGCTAAGCGGGCCATCCCGGCTTCCATATAAACAGGCCTTTAATTGACATATGTTCCTCAACCAATTCAGAAGAATCCAAATTTTCCACATATACAATCTCACTAACATTTCTCATTTTCAGTACACAGAACACAAGTTGGGGATAACTTTTCATCAGTCATTGCTTGAGTTTAAAAGCTCTATATTTAGATGCATCCACATTCTCAGTGTCCTTAGCAATGATAACAAATTTCTCCAGCAAATCTTTCATATACTTTATTTGGTTATTTCCGATGACCTCCATCTCAATTACTTTCTTACAGAATACGTCATAAGACTTCTCGTACACTGATGCTCTCGTTGCTTCTTCGTCTCTCTGGTGAGAAATATTGTATAATTGCAGTAGCAAACTTTGTGATAGCGGATTTCCAGAGCTACACAGTCTTTCCCCTGGATTTGCACGAGTATCTGTTGATCATTCTTTCTCTCTGCAGCTGTACGTAGAAGACCAGCATCAATTGTTTTTGCCAACATGAGTGGGGTTCTTCTTCTCTTCTTAGTTACCTGGTGTGAAACAAAATAAATTATTAAACTAAATATCTGCTAATAACAAGGTTGGATGTTTGTAGCATAGAAACTACTTTACCCTAAATAAACTTAATTGATCACAATTCAATATATTTTAAAACCAAACCTGAGAATGTTGTGCACATTGCGCTAGTATTATACCTATCAAAATGACCATACCTTGTCTAGTGAGAACCACGAGGCGTCTCTTCCACAAATAATACATATCTCTGGGAGTACATGCGCGTTTCTTTTAGGCAGGGCCTTTATATTTATAGCTTCTGCGACTGATTGACGTGTAATTTTTCGCCTTGGTTCTATTGCCTCCACTTCCACGTGTGATTCTTCGGTAGAAGTTATAGTTTTAGAGCTAGTTCCTTCTCCTTTTTCTTCTTTTCTCTGTTATCTACGGATCTTCGGTTCATCGCAAAATCTCTTCTAGCATTTCATATGATGGTTCCATTCTAAGTTAATGGTGTCAGAGTTCTTCTCGATGTATGAATTGACAGATCCGTCATCGATGTTCTCGTACGATTTCTTAGCTATTTCAGCTTGTTGACATTTAAGTTTGGCCCATTTTGACCTACACTCAAGAAATTTCTTAAGCCTTTGGCGTGTAACTTTGCAAAGTTGCTCTGTAACGCCATCAAAATGCATAAAACATGAGGATATTCGAGTTTTATAAATATCTTCAGCCATGTTTATTTGCATAACTGAGCGTGTTTCCACCAGTGAACCACAGGGGGTCCAACTAACAGCTGTGTTATGAATAAAACATATTAATTAAACGTAATACGAATAAAACATCATAACGTAATATTGCACTTACTTGTATAAATCATAAGAGCTTGCATTTTAATACAGTGAATAGCTTCAAAAACTTGCTTCGTTCCAAAGACTTCAAATATGGCGAATAAATTGACAAAACGATAATATTACATGACGTTCCAACGAAAATAACAGAAAGGATTGCGGGCGCGAGCGGAAAGGCGAGGGAAGAAATAAATAGAAGGGATGAAACAAATATCACGTGACTTTTTAAAATGCTTCTAGACTACCCGTTTAAGCTTTTTGTGGGGTTTTTAAGGCTCAGTCGATGTTCTCTTACATGAACAAGCCTAGTCATTACCAAAAAAGCACTGATCAATCTAATTTATGTGATTTATAACAGCGAGCATTCTTGGCCATTATCGCGAGATGTGTTCCATAAGTAGCCTGTTCTCGTGACGTATGACGAAATAATAATAAAACTAAATAATGTAAAAAAAAACGTTGGTCGCTACATTTAAATATTTCATATTAGCCGGTATAGCTAAACATTGTTTATTTTCATTAATTAAGCGCGTAGGCGTTGTTGGAGTTGGCAGGAGGCGTTTTGGAATTTTCCGAGAGAACAGGCTACTTATGGAACACATCACACGATCGCATTACCGGTGTTTCATCCCTTCTATTAATATCTATTACCCTCGCCTTCCGCTCGCGCCCGCAATCCTTGCTGTTATTTTCGTTGGAACGTCATGTAATATTTTCGTTTTGTCAATTTATTCGCCATATTTGAACAATCGTTCGAATCAAGTGTTTCTGAGCGATTTTCTGAGCGTGTATAAGCGCCCTGTTAAAAGCCATTCACTGCAAATACAAGCTCTTATGATTTATACAAGTAAGTGCAATAATTTAAATATATTACGTTATGATGTTTTATTCATATTACGTTTAATTAATGTTTTATTCATATTCATAACACAGCTCTTAGTTGGACCCCCTGTGCTCAAGCGATAAAACTGATATCACCTCACCCCGATTATGATAACCTGTTTATCACATACTTGTGCCTTTATGAGGGCTAGAATTTATTTTAAAAATAATCATTGCCCCAATGGACTAACTGACAGAATTTATATATATATATATATATATATATATATATATATATATATATATATATATATATATATATATATATATATATATATATATATATATATATATATATATATATATATATATATATATATTATTATTATTATTATTAAAATTTCCAAACTAGCAGTAACAACTGAATTACTTTGGAATTACAGGGTATAAGAACATAGGTATTTAATCTATTCTATATTTACAGGTAAAAATAGGTAAGTTAGATAAAAATAACGTTAGTAATCTAAAGTTTACTTATTATTATAAGCACGAGACGCAGCAGGAATGAAACTGTTCGAAAACGTTCAGTTCTACACCTAGGTACTAATAAGTTGGGATAAGACCTCAGATTATAAGTTTGAAGACTTTTAGGCGGTACTAAGGCATTCAGTTTATGAGTGGGTTCCAACATCTTCGAAAAAAGTCGCTTGCAATGGACAGTTCTACGTTCGTAAAGAGTCATCAAGTTAGCTTTAAGCAAACATTCAGCATAAATAGTTCCAGGGAAAATAATTTTTAATG